AAGAACCGAAGAACTACTTCAATATAGTGGAGATCGGCTCAGAATGATTACAGAGTTACTAACCGGTCATTGCCCGCTGAGAGGACATCTGAATAAAATGTGGCTGTTCAACGGAGACCTCAGCTGCAGATTATGCAACGAAAGGATAGAAACAGCTCTACACATCTTATGCGAATGTGAGGCACTGAATCACAGGAGGCAGGCAATATATAGACGTACGAAATTACGTCCAGAAGAATATGACGAACATCCAACAAGGAACCTGTACAAACTAGTACAGGGAACGAGACTGATGGAATGGGTGTCATGAGAAGATGGGAGAATAAACGCAATAAGCCCAAGAGGCTGCAGTGTTTTCTGGAGACTTGGACTATATGGACAAGTCAGACAGCTCCCAAGGTACCTACAAAAAAAAAAACCTTCCAATACATCCTTTTTTATTCAAATGAAAAATCACGATCTGTAAACAAAGTTAATCAAATTACTTTAATTGACGTATTCAAAAAATTCTCTATTGTTTAGTGAAATTCTCACAATAAAGTGTTTTTTGAATATGTTAGTTATGGATTTTCATGAAGTATCGGCCAATTCCATCATATACTTTAATTGAATATATGTATTACTTACCTTTTTGGCTTTTCATCTTAATGTGAAAAAAATGTGTGAAACTTCCAAAACAAGAAAGAAATTATGAATTCTCAACAACAAAGTTTATATCAAGCATGAATGTTTCTCTCATGCAGATACAAACTGCAGGTAAAAGCCCTCACGAAACAACTACTTTCATATGAACATCGAAATTTTGATTCAGTTTGTTCTTCAAACATTCGTTATCGAAACTAATCTCCCCGAAAGTATATTCCCTTTAAGTTTTCTGATTGATACATTCCAAAAACTTCTGACATTCTAGAATTCCACTTGAACTATTTTTATTAGTCGAACTCAGAAGTTTTATTGAACACTCAAGATGATTGATTATTCATATGTGAAAGAAAATAAGCTATTTTTGTTAACTTGGATATATAAGTGAAGGCAGATTTTCTCAAAATCTCAAGTACCTACCAAATGTAGATGGCGTATGATATGTCTTTAATGAATACGATACAACGGTTAACATTTGGACATGACAATATACAACTGATTACTCACAAACACACCTGTATGAAGTGTACTGTATAATTCTGTGTCAGGTCAGATTTATAATAGTCCAGGACTATTAGTTGTTGAAGAGGAAAACATTCCTAATGAAATTCTAACCATTGAAATTTTCACTGAACCTCTGTTCTATTGAATCTCAAAATTTGATAAATATTTTTTGAAAACCTCGATAAAATCTTTCAATTATGAAGTTTCCAATTATTTTGTCAAAGTAATCGTCTTTCAAAAGTTAATTCATGATAATATAGCTACGTTGAATGGGTTGATGAATTTCTTATCATACAGTTTTCAAGAAAAAAGTAATATTCTTCGTCATAATTAAAAAAAAAAAGACTGACTCAGAAATTTTTGAAGCTACGATAAAAAAATAACTCGTTGAACGAACAATCTTATAGATACTCACGTCAAATGTAGACTGACAGGTTATTATAGATTGGAAATAGAATATTGCCCACGATTTTCTTTAACCAATTCACACTCTTTTACCACCTGTTCCAGAGAAAAATTTTCTCCGAATCCCATCATGGGTTATAAGTATTGCTGCAAAAAGCTTGGATTTAACTATTCCCCAATTTGCAACTACTTTCATAGTCAATCTACCTTTGAAATCTTGAGTAGATACACTGAAAAGGCTACTGTTATCGATATTTACTCAAATCTAAGTCATAAATTCTTTGGCTTTGCGAGAATAGAAAAAGACAATCACATTGCAACATCAGACAATCATTTGCTAGCACGACCCCTGACTTTTTCAAAACTCAGCCGGCAGCAATTTCATCAGTAGGGAGAGTCTAACAGTCCCAGACTATAATGAAGTCTAATTCAATCCCAATTTTATTTTAAAAGTTAAGTGTATTGTTAGAGTTTTCATTGCTTTTGACACTATTACTTTTTATTGTTATACGCTCTTTCTTTAACAACCATTTCAAATATTTCTTTCCTACATTTACGGACAATAGAAGTTCAAACCACTATGAATAACTTTTATTATTGGAAAGTTTGAACATTCTGAGTCTTATGTGTTGTATTAGGTGGTTTTATTTGGACAACAAAAATAAATGAAAATCAGTTAATATGAAAAGGTATATTTTAAGGAGAGAAATTGATTTTGAGAAAATGAAAAAATCGTATCTACTTATTATAGGCAACAAGTTTATATTTTAGGTTTTCATTTTAATCTTCCTCGTTGCCAAATGATTGACATTACTGCTCGCGTTGACTATCAAAGACTCGTCCTAAAATAGGATATTGTGTAGAACTTGTGTAAATTGATTTTTTGAATCGAGTGTTTTTGCTACAACGTATGAAGTACAGTGTTTGACAACATCTGTTTTTCCCGATGCATGATGGAATTCAAATTTGCTGTGATTACTTGTCAGTTTTATAGTAAGAAATGTTTCTATCTTGTTATGTATCACCTTCATAGGTCTTCTCTCCAAAATTCCTCCTTTAACTCTATCAAGAGGACAGTGAATCTTAGAATGCATCTGAAATTTATTGAAATAAATATTCTTCCTTCTGATAACTAATTACCTTCTGATAATAATTACAAATCAAAAAACATATTACAAGTACTCCCGCGGGACACTCAGATCCAAAATAACTCAAAAAATGTATAAGAATTCCTAGTGCAACTCACTAGCGTTAGAATATATTTGAAATTGGGAAGTCATATGGAATCCTAGGTGTCAATACCACTGAAATATTCAAGAACTAAGATTACCCGAATCTGTGAGACCGCGCAAGTAAGGGAAGGTTGAAAGGATTTTCTCTAGTAATTGGAATGGGACGATATCTTTTTGAAATGGAAAACCGCTATTTTTCTGATAGAATTCCTGAATTTTGACCTGTTACAATCACAACTGAATATACTCAACAATGATCAAAGATTGTTTTCTTCGCCTCTATAACAAATTCTTTCATATGAGTAGTGCCTAATAATCTATTTTTACTGTAAACGTTTTTCAGTGACGTGGTGTGCTGAAAAAACAAAAAAAAAATTTAAAAAATATAGTAAATATGTAATGGAGGTTTGATTACCTTCCATCAGTTTGTGTATTTCGTAATATCTTTATTAGTATCAAATGACTAGATAGTGGCATTAATTGGAGTAATATTCAAATTCAGATGACTTTACAACCTCCATCCAATAAGTTTACTACCATTTTACATGGAGGGGAGTATATGGCCTTGTTGTTACTAGGGAAAGTTAATTCGCGAAAAGAATTCAAATATGTAAAGTTACTGTGAGAACATCCAACATTTGTATAGGGAATATTTTCGACTTTATATCCTTTGTTTGGGAGAGTGAATGTACTATAAAATAAAACTAATACACTTCGTATCATTCAATAATCAGTTTAGGGAGTCTGGCAAGCCCATTTGTTCAATGGAATTGGTATCTTTCTACGCACAACGTATACAAGTTTCGGCAATCTAGTGTACATTATCAGTAAAACATATAGTTTCCACGAGACCGAAAAATTTGAAACAAACACTGTTTCGTAAATGATGATCTTACTTTGGAATATTTCACATTTGAATTGAATTTGAATAAGTAGTATTTCTAGCTTTCCTATTCTGAGGAAATGATTCACACAGAGAGATATTAGTAAAGGTATTACTGTATAAATGAAAATTGTTATTAAACGACACGAGGGTAAATGTAACTAGTTTCATCTGGTTTTTTTATTCTTCTTGGATGAACAATGTTCTTATTATCTCGAGTCAGAAAATCCATATAGAATATATCGCTTTTTTCTTTATGAATACTATATTTGATTATAAAGACTCTGATACTAGGATACGTCATAAAAATGAAATGATGACTGATACTGAACCCAACTGGAAAGTAGATTTTTTTCATAGATAAAATAGCCGATTAGCCTCAGTGCGCTAATGTAGTACAAAAAACATATTTCAATCAATTTTATCCTTTCAGATTCAAAAATATACAAGATATTATGAAGAAATAAAACAAAACACACAATTTTTCTCATAACTGTGAATACATTACATTTTAATGCCAAAGGATATCGACGCATCGTTGAACCCAAACTGTGATATTTTGAATTCTTTTTGGGAGGTTATAATATATTGACGAAGAAAAAGGATTTTATGTAATCCATTATACGTTATTCAATGGGTAGTTGTAAATGAGAAAATACGGAGGTGACTTTTTTATCGTCCAAGTTTTCAAAATCATTTTATATGAGCACAAAACTTCAAGGATTTCAATAGCTTCAAAAATTTTAATTTTCCATTCAGCCAGTACATTGGATTACTTTGTTTACTTTGTCATAAAGGTCATCAATAATTTTATGCTTCATCTTCGAGAAGATTGAAATCTTGTCTGATCTTCCAAAACAAGAACTATGATTCTTGGACGCATGCGCTGTTACACCTATATAGGTAGTGAAAAGATAAAATTATTTCAACTGAAATGCCCTATTTTCCACCAAAAAACTGCCAGAGTAACAATATATAAAACTCAATTAAAATATGGTGTCCATAATTTCTGTATACAATCTTAAATTTTCAATTAATCTAACAGATGGAATAGAGGTGTTGATTATGTAAATTGTAAATAAATACGTTGCAATCTCTAATATATGCATAGCATTGAAGTAGGAAACCTTATCCATTCTTCAGTATATTTGGAGTTTGGCGGAGAAAATTGTAAACTTTTTGGGATCAAAATGGTAATGAAACCACAATCTAGAAAAATATCCCTCAGTAATCAAAATGGAAATTTGAAAAAAAGGTGTATCTACGTTTAATAGTTACTAGTTGAGACGGTAAATGGACATATGCATCTTTCATCGAATTGCCCACTGACTTACTCTTTCCTTTATTCAAAAAATCCGAATCCATCTCAGTAAGAAGCGGTCTTGTTCGCATGTGTTGCTGAATGACATGCGATGCATTTGTGATATGTCCTTTGTTTCTGTTCCTCGCGCACTCGCCACAGTTTATCACAATCACAATGAGGAAAATACAAACACAAGAGTTGATCTTCAACATCCCCATTCTGGGGAACATCGCGGCGGATCGCTGATAAGGCGGTCACAAGAAGGTCACATCGTGCGCGGTCCGAACACCAGCGCATCATCCAACCAACTAACGGCCGCCTCAGCCATGGTTCTGCAAAACAAATCCAACCTTAGTTCTTGCTTACCTGGTACAGGTGAGAAATAGTATTTATTTCAGTTGTATGGAGCGGCAATCGGATCGAGGTGAGAGAATGTTAGCGAGGAAGAAACTCAGGTTTGTTAAAAGTGTAGGTGAAAGTACGAACTCATTTCTCAAGAAAAAGTAGTATGAAAGTGTCTTTTTCAAGTCATGCTGCATGAGATGAAACATATCATTAAACTTTGTTCAGTGAGAATTCGAGATAAACGTCTAGGTTTATCAGATACATAAAGGTGATTATGTCTATGACTAATATATATTACACATTGTTTTTAAAAATGCACTTGAAAAATGTTGTCTACTAAGTTACGGTTGGCTACTGTAACAGAACTCGAAAACTTACTGACTCAATAGATTCCTACAGTATATATTTTTATCAGCATTTAATTGGCGGCCGTATATGCCTCATTGCCGTTTCCTCAAGTCAAATTCATTGTGAAGATAGCCTACTACATAGATACACTCAACATGCTTGTTGATATCACTTGACAAAAGTTTGGCCACATAAATTATTTCTATCAGAACAAAAACACTTACAAATAATATTAATATCTTAACAATATTTTTCGTTAGTCCATGTGTAGCTTACACAAACATACTTTATGGCTCTCCCACTCGAGAGCACAAATGGACAGTGTTTGACTTCGGGACAATAGTCATTGCAAATACCAATCTAATCGGAAATTGCACACATTTAAAATGATTTGACACATCAGTAGATATGATAGGAATTGGGTACCATATTTTTACCTCTGAACTTATAATTCAAAATGCTGGCTTGGACAATGTTTTTCGAAAATTTTTTAATGACTAATCGTGTGCAGATGCACAGCCGTGGTAGATTCAAATTACAGAGCGATCCAAACACACCCCCCCATCCTAAAAAATTCCGTATGAGAAGATGTGATTATACTAGCGAGAAATAAATCATGTTTATTTGTCTAACGTCAATAAGTACCCTCTTAATTTTTTGAGATGTTGTTGCATATGTAAATCCCACTCCATATGTGGAATAATCGTATTTCACCCATGTTGCTGAAGGAACTTGATTGTTCAAACCTACTTTAAGGGGAACTTAGTTTGGTAATCTGCTAATTTAAGATGTAAATGGTAAGTACCAAGTTTTTTGGTAATTATTGAATTGGAACAGTCGAACACAAAATTTCAGACGCGGTTCAACCCGAACTCAACGACAAAATACCACTGTCCGCGGAAATCTATCCCTTACGAAATTTATGTTTCTGTCATTAATACAAGATATGAAATTAATAAGAAATATAGAATTTAAATAGTAAAAAAGCAAGCTGACTGACAGTGACAGTGACAACTTAGCTTCAATTTGTGAATCCGCCAATGCACTTGCACTTCAAATTTATCACAAGAAAAATCACGGAAATTTAAATATACGATAGAGAAAACAGTTTTTGTCTGTTTCGTATATTTATTATGAATTACTACAAAATAAATAGGTCATCAATCGAACAAGTAACGTCAAAATCTTCTAAAAACACAAGAGTATTAGGAAATGGTGCAACATATATAGGTAATATCAAAAATTTGAAGGAACGTCTTTGATTTTTTTCTATGGAAAAGATCAGCGTCATGGTTCAAATACTCGATGATGAAATCTGAAGTTAGATATGTCAAAAATAAGTTTTCGAAATTGAATACTTTTCAAAAACCATATATGGGTTACGACGCAAAAAAGTCGTTAATTTTCGGCAGGAAATGATGTGAATACTTACTTGAAAGAATTTCCAAATGAAAACTATTCAAAATATTGAACGAACTTGTGACGCACTGTTTGAAAACTTTGGTATAGTAATAAATATTACTGGAGTTTTATCCTAACACCAAAACGTTATTTTTAACACCCCGACACGTATTTCAGTCACCAAGTGATCATATTCAGAAGGAAGCTTGAACCGTTCAATCTTCCTCTTCAAGGTAATAATAATAATATTTATTTTCCATCAGACACAGATAACATGTATTGGAATCGTCAAAGTATAGATACATAAAGCCATGATACAAAATTCACAGTATGAGCAACACCGTTGTTATTAAAACAACAACAACAAAATTAACATGAAATAAAATACAGCACAGATACACTGGTGATGATCACTTGGTGATTGAAACACGCGTCGATGTGTTGAAAATAACGGTTTGTTGTTAGGATGAAACTCCAGTAGTATTTATTTTGATCGAAAGTCATGTGTTTGATAAAATTTACTGCTATTTGAAAGCAAAATGACCAAAGAGCTAATTTAATGAAATCCAAGTCGTGTAAGTGATCACAATTACGGAGAAAAAAACTACTAATGAAGGAGTTTTCACAATAAATGATTTAACGTTTGGAAAAAATGCCCAAACACAAATACTTTTTTCAATGATACATCATCAGAAATTTTTCATAAATTTCATCATGGATTCATTGCAAATTATTCTCATTTAACTATCCTACTAATTACACTAGGATCAATAAAAGATTACAGGATTACTTACTAGAAAATTCGAAATGCATGTAGTTTATCATTTGTGAAACTTTAAACTTTAAATTGTAGAAATTTTGCAATAGAAAATATTAAAATTTCAAACGATAGTAAAATGTATCAATTAATTTTTTAATGTGAGAAATTGAAGACGTCTAACTGATCTATCTTTCTTCGATTTACCAATTGGGAGATGTTATCCAAACCTCTCTAAGATCAACCACATACATCCACTGTTTTGATGTATCACCAGGTTGGCGTTTCTCTCTCCATTATTTGCTGATAACAAAAAAAAGGGCTAAAATGGTTATTAATAATTTCATGTCTCTTACATTTGAGAATTCAATTACGGAGTTCTGTTAGGCCGTTAGTAATTATGTACCTATCTCTGTTATGCAATAATATATTTTTCATTTGGTTGATGAAATATAAAAAATTGATTTGATGTAACATTAATACTATTAGTTAGTATTTATGTATGTATGAATTACTATCGACGATTTCCTGATGATGTCAACTTAGTTGCAAAAACTATGCTTTCAAGTTATATTTGAATTATATGAACATATATTAAGACATTCGATAAACCATCAAATCAAAGTATGATAAGTACTATTATTGTTCAGACATGAGATTTTATCTATTTCTTATTTTAATAGAAATTATTGGAATGATGTAACGCAAAGTGAAAAGCAGTAAAAATACTGATAAAAAAATCGGCTTATGTTCCACAAAATTGCTATCCACTATTACTTCCTTTTTCAAGCATCCAAAGCATGTGACGAACTTACAAGTTACAACCTTAATTATTACCTTCAAACCATAATGAAGCCTTAGCGATACATCATTTAGTTTCTTTTCAAAAATTGAACCATTTTGGAATCTTTCATCACACTCAAATAATTCATGAAGGTAAGAAGAATTTCAAAATATGTCAAATTTATCATTTATTTGGCATCCGACAACTTCAGTTTGAAGATAAACTGTTATCTCACAAAGAAAAGATATTCATCCGATGCAAGCATACCTTTATGGGCGTCTACACCTCTCATAGATCTAGAAAATGAGTTGAACAGCTTCACTGAAATAGTGAACTTGAATATTCGAAGGAATAAAGCACGAGAGACGTGTTAAACAAGGACGAACACTGGGTACATAATAAACATCTTGAGGAGACTTTAACGATAGTAAAGGCACATAACCCAAACCGATACAGACTGTTGAACAGAAATGAAAAGAACAGATTATTAAACAAAAATATTACAGTGTTGCCCAATAATATGAATGTTTCGACTGCTTAAATAATCTGCTCTAGTATTTTGAGAATCAATATTTTTTTTTAAGAATAAGATTGTCATCCAACTCCTCCAAAATACTCAGAATTTCCACTTTTCACTATGTTTGAAAAATAAAGTGTCTCTCGAGTTCATTTCCAACTCATTTCAACGATATTTCTCTAATCTTCTATAGAATACACGTGAAACTACGGATCATAGGAAAATATCAAAGTTGAAGTAAAATTTCAATACAAAGTGGAACATGAAAGTTAACCAGAAATAATGTTCAGAATTAACTGAAATCAACAACAAATATAACCACGTGAAAGTATATAGAGTGATAAAATGGTTTTTGACCATTACTTTAAAAAAAAATCTGGGACCCTTCCAAAGACAGGAAGAACTCAATTAAGATCAAAATCAACTCTAGCAAAGATGTATAGATTATTCATAGAAGTTACTTTCAGATACGAACTGTAAGAAGAAACAACTACTTTTACATGAACATTGAATTACAAAAAAATACTTTCGAAACAATTGTTTCCATATGTGATTCCATATTGTACTCCAAACACTCCATGAATAGTGTTCCAGTATGATATTTTCGATAGAGAAAGCATCATTCCACCAAGGACTCTAATAATCAGAACAACCATCTTCACAGAGTAGTCTGAATGGAGTCTGCGGAGTTCGAAGAGAAAATCTCGATACTTTATCCGTTTTTCCTCCTCTTTTCGGACGATATTCGTCTCGCAAGAAGCAGAAAACCCCACGAAAAGTATCGTCTTGCTCTGGTGGTTGAGAAGGATTACATCAGGCTTATTAGCTTGTTAGAGTCTGAGGGTGGGAAACGAATACTTTCAATAAATTCGGCAGTTTTGGTGCCCCACAACAGATTCAATATTTCCAAGAACGTAGAACAACACAAGTGTCTCGTTAATACCGTAAGAGTACCGTAATAAAGCATTCATTATTATTATTATTATTGCGAAATAAAACTCGTGCCATCGAAGAACAAAACTCAAGGCAGGTGTGGGAGACACGTTGAAAACCTACCAGTGTTATTAGCGGATTATATGGTCGAAGAACCATTTCAAATAACGATTCTGAGAAATCGTGATTATCTTTCTAGGTAGATATGATGGCCGCTGAATTAGCTGGAAATGATTTGGAGTC